CTGGCTAAGACAAAAGGAAGAAGTCAACTGAGGGATGTCAACTAGGGAATCAAATCTACACTAAGTAAGACTAACACAAAAGTGGTGGCGCTCGGGCAAATTACATTAAGAGCCCCCTTGCCTTTTGAATCTCCTCAGACTTCACGACTCTCTGCTTCTCCAGATCCAAATCAGACAGGTCTGCATTCACGATGACCGTCATGGGGACGGAGAGGATGAAGCGCAGCCACTCCGCCTCCTCGCCGCGCCCAATGCTCTCAGCGATTGCCTCCAAGAAGGCCAACCAAGGCTCATCCTCTGAAAACCTGACACCAAACAGAAACTCTTAACCGGGAAGGGCTAGGAAGAATAATTTCCAGCGGGCACATGCAAAAGGTACCTCTTAACTCGCAAGTATTGACTAAAAGAAAGGCTGTCACTGTGAGAGGAAAGCCTCGCCTGATCAAGGGCTTCTTGCCGCAGGCTTCTTCCTTGCCCCTCGCAATCATCTCCAGCTGCAGCGTGTCTGGAAGCGCCGCTGGCGAACCAAAGAAGTGAGCCTTCAGCTCATCGACCGCAGCTGTCCTAAGAGTGCCTGCTGGAGCGGCCAAGCGGGTGCAATCCATCAGAGCCTCAAGTGCCCAGCAAAAAGTTGGATCTACACAACCAAGCCGCAGGTGGCATTATTATACTATACAATCCCCATTTGCCAAAACTGGTGGAAATTTGGATGCCAACTCACCAAGGCACAAATGGATTTCCAACACCCTTCAAAGTGAACTTCATAGACTTGCTTGGATCCTCACCGGTCTCCTTCTTCCAAGCCTTTTCCAGCAGCTTTGGAGTGATCACAGTCATGTGGGCGTCGCTAGCCGGAAGCTCTGCCACATTCAACTTCCTCTCCGAGGATCCGAATCGCAAGTCCCGCTTCGTGATGGTTTCCTTTGCGTGTGCATGCTTGTAACTGACCCTGGGAAAAATGATCCAATTCGGCTCTGGATGCAAAGGGAAGATCAAATACCCCCTCAGAAATAAAAGCAAAAGGAAAATGAAAAGTTGGACTGACCAAGTGTTTCAAGTTGCCAATGCTTTAGCCATCTTGTCCATCGCTTCCTTGTTGGCATGCGTTGCATTGAAGTCGCTGAACTCAGCCATGGCAGCACAAGCGCTTGCAGCCCGGCCCTGAAATGCACACAGACCCTCCGAATGGCAAGTGCGCATGTGAACTTCACTAGTGGCCTTGGTTTTGGAGCACTAGTGGCCTTTATACTTTCGGTTACTTTGAGCTTGGGAGGAAGAGTGACCTTTGTCAAACCTTGCAGTCATTCATTGGTTGAGCCAGCCTGAGCCCAGCCAACGAATACAAACACTGTGTGACCAAAAACGCCTTCGCCCCGTCCTTCTCTCTCTCTCTTTCTCTCTCTCTCTCTCTCTCTCTCTCTGTGGTGATTGAGAAAGCGCCTTCGCCCCGTCCCTCTCTCTCTCTCTGTGATGATTGAGACTCCGGGCAATGAGCTTTCTGATGGCATCTTCCATCGCCGTCGCGCGGACTAAATGTGAACATAAAAATGATGGACTGCAGTTTGACTTGAGCTCTACCACATCTTGGTCTTGTGAGCTATTCTGCCAACTTTGTGAAGTAGGTTGTCTACGACACTGCCTGACCCCCCTGCCCCCGCGCCGTGACCCCTGTCGAACGGCGGCTGACGCAGCGACGATTCACCGACATGTCCACTGGTGCACCCGGTTGAAAGCAAGACCCTGCCAAAAAAAAATCACATTGAGCAAAAGCAAGACTAGCGCGGATCTAGTAGCGCCAGCCTAGCGCAAAAAATATCTGTCGATTTCTTTATCCTGTCAGATTCTTAGTTTTCCTGTTTGCTTGTCTTCTTGTTGTACATTATCATTCTTCTTCTTCTTCTTGTTTGTTTTTCCTTTTTCTTGTCTTGATTATGTCTTTCCTGCTCTCTGCTTGTTTCTTCTTGTTCCTGCTTGCTTATCCTGTTATGACGAAACCTAGCGCCAATCTAGCGCTGCCTTGCTGTATCACCATAGTCTGCTGGGGGCCGGCTTCTAAACGAAGACTTAAAAACACATCTCCAACCTTAAAAGTTTACGTTGATCAATATTTTTTGAGTAGGGCTTTTTGAGCGCAGTCCATCTAAAACTTCAACTAAAAATATGACCTCAAAAAAAGTACATCAAAATGTGCATAATCCACTGTAAACACCACTGAAAAGTGTAAAAAGGTGGGTCTCAGGGGCGGGTATCACAAATATATATATATATATATATATTTGTATATATTATAAATATACACACGCACGTATATAGTTTACATCATTACCAAAGAACAAAGAACGTTTGATCAGAAATTAAACCTCAACCATAAAACATGTTTGTACACCACAAGTGTGAACTAGCCATGCGGTATCGCTATCTCGCACAGCTACTGCCAATCAAGGAAGGACCTAATTCCGTCCACTGATGCAGCCCAATGCATCCAAGCCGTGACGAAAAATAAACGATACATCCAAGAATCATATATTGGGTGGGAGGTTCTCTGAATGGGTGTCTTTTGTGAGATTGGTATTCTGTGTTTGGACAGTTGGCCTATACTACCAAACTGCCTATCCTACCCAAGAATAGTTTCATGCTCTCTGGCTCTATATTGCGCTTGCAAGAAACTGCAGTGTTTCAGTGTTCATCGATGTCTAGTTTATTGCATTTCAGCGACAAGGAACAGGATAAGAACTTGTTGCCCACAAGAAACACAGGCAGAAGAAACAAACATTCCCCGGAACTCAGGTCTGTTGCACCTCATGACCCCTTAGGCACGTGCCAGACACGACAAAATGCAAAAAGTAAAAACATCCATCTGGGAGCTTTGTTGCCATTTGTGTCACTTTTCTTTGTGTAAATGAACACATCGACGAAGGAAACACCTCAAGAAAGCATGCTGCAGCAGGGAGTAGTTTGCCGGGTTCAACTGTCAAGCGCCTCAACAATAGCGCAATCAAAGCTGATCTGAGTCACAGGCTGGTGAGCGATGGCCCATTTGGTTGAAGAAAACATGACGTGAAACCAAGCAAATTCTCTGGACAGCTGCAGCATGCATTGTGGCCGATCTCAACGATCAATACGGATTGCTTTCTCGACGTGGCTCGAACAAAGACAAAGGTGCTCTTTCCTTTATATACTTGCACTTCCATGCCTGCAGCTTGCGCTATGATCAGTGACTGCTTCCTTGTTCAAAGTCCTTGACATCGAGCCCGAATAATGACTGATGACTGCTAATGCCCGCACGAATGTCCCTGGCCATATGCCACTCATGAACATGTCAAAATAACTTAGACTTCCTAAACAGCATCATGCCTTCAGCAGAACACTTTTCCACAAAGGCTTCTGGTTGGTGTTTTCTTTTTGCACCAGGTGCAGGTCTAAACAATCAATCATAATCAATCGACTTGAGCAACGCCCAGCGTCTTTCAAGGCTCAAACGTAGGCAGGTTTCTTCAAGTTCTTTCCCCTAAGCTAGTCTGCGTCACTGGTGAGACCTCAACTTTGGAGGGGTCATTCTCACCCTTGATCACACTCTTCAAAGAGTCCAAGCCCCTTGGCCTCAGCCGACATGTCCGAGAACTGCATCGGTTCACAACCTGTCCCTGGTTGAGCTGGTTCTCCGCAACCCTCGCAAACCGGCTTCGTGCAGAATATCACCTTTTTGATATCGAGGTGACAGCGCTTGCATGCTTCGAAGCACTCGGTCGCGAGAAACGTGGATTCTGATTCGGACCCTTGCATTTTCGAACAAAATGAGCAGACCTAAGGATGCGAGGCTTGTTCACAATCATGACAAGCAGGCTGTGTGCACAACCATCGTGACTGCTTTCCCGATGCAGTGACTTCTCTTTTTGGCGAAAGAAGGCGAAACAAAATTGGTCACTAATCAAAGGAAGTTTAGTGTGCAAGACTTCCGTGTTACGGACACTCAATACACCACTGATCATACACCACTCTTCATACACCACTCATCATACACCACTCATCATACACCACTCATCATA